TAATTTAAACAGAATTTGTTATGATAAACAGAAGCAGTATTACCTTATTACTACCCATATGAAATTAGTTTTCTTTTATTGGCATTACTTGTGAGTGTGCATTCAAGATGTCGCTTTTAATTATATTAAAAGCTTTAGGTTTTTCAAACATCAATCAGTAAATGTACGAGCAAACAGTAACTAAATAAGGTATTATTCTAAATAAATAGACAATTAAAAGATCAATGACGTTTTTTACCGCAGTTTGAAAAATAATTGAATAAATTTCATTACGGTTAAGCCATCCAATAGGTAAACATTTAAAAATGATGATAAAAATCATATATAAATCGTTAGCAAAAAATAATTAAAGTTTCATTACATTTTTTGTTTGAACTATGCGAAATCTGGCGTAGAATTTATTTTATATTTTCCACAAACTTGGATTTTTTACGCTATGTAAAGTGCTGAAATAGCGTTTGTTTTATTTTTTTGTTCGTATAATTTTTCAACCATTGATGCTATGCAGCTGAGTTTAGGTAGTTTTGTGTGATAAATAAAAATCAAGTCGAGCTTCGTTTTGTCAAAGTTACATTTTTGTTCATTTTTATTTTGATTTTTTTTCGCTGCCAGTAATTAATTTCAAGTATAAACACCTGACCCTTTTGGAATATTATGAGAAAATCTTCAGGGATCGTCCTGAAATTTAATATAAGGATCAATTTATTAACCGAGCTCAATTTAAGCCATCCACTTCTAAAGTCTAAAGTTTTAAGATTCAATCACTTGTACAAATATGGATTATAAATTTAACAATATCTATTATAATTTTAACTTTAATCATTAACACCTTTTTTCTACCTAAAGAAGAAATACTTTTGATTAAAATTTTATTTCCTATAAAAAATTTAATATCAGAATGTCCATTTCATTAAAGAAGTTCCTATACAAATGTTTCTGAACAAACATTGCCATAATATTACGTTCAAATATGCATTCGCTGGAATATGTAGCATGTAATAAAGGCATGTTAAGTGGGTGACATCCGGTCATACATACAATCTTTGGTACTGTACATTCGCTCAGAACGTGTACAGCTTACTACAACCGCTTTTAGCTTTGTTTATTTAATTTTCTCCCGCTGACTAAACTGTTTACCAACCTTCCGCCCCATGACTTGGAATCTAATTGAATGCCCTTTCAACGTAAACTCCATTTGTTCATGAGTAGTTCAAATACATCCTAATAGAGAATGTGATCTTTAGTGGCTTTTTAGATTTTAAAACTCCACACAAACCAACAGCATTACTTTCATTTATTTCACAACAATTTTCACGTAACATAAAATGTTTACATTCCGAACATCTTTTCAAGGAACTTGGGATGTAGTTTTCTCTGAAATGAATGTCGCTACTTCAAAACTTTTCACACAACACTTAAACTTCTCATACAATATCATGTCTGAAACGATGTGTTATATTCTTCGACCTCACTTTCGTTTCTATAGTAACGGTATGCTTTTATTACTGAAAGTCAAACTGTCACACAATTTTATGTTTTTACTATTGTGACGATTCCTTGTTTCTCGTATGTGTGATTACATTGTCTTGCTAGTATATTAAAATATAAACCGTTTCTACAGCTGCTTGAATAAATATTATTTCGTTCAGTTAAGTATAGAATTCATTTATTGTAAATATTTTTCATAATTTAAAGTATTCCGTCAATAAGAAATTTATATGTTACGTATGCAACAAAAAAATTCACATTACTTCATAATGAACAATGAAATTAGTTTCACTGTTTACTATCAATTCTAAGACAAATATTTATTTGCTGTATACAGCTGTCTAATAATTGTTCCGGTCTTTTCCTTAATTACAACGTGTTCAGTTATATCCGTTCATGTTCTAAGCATAATTACGTTAACCGAACCGATTCTTTCGATTAGACTTATTTAATTTGTATGAGTATACATGAATGTTGAATATATTTAATGAAATGTTAGACACAAAACTGGTATTACGTCATATAATATATGGAAGTCATGAATCTTGATTTTCCAAAGATACAGCTTGAAACCAGTGTCACTATCTGTAGGGATTTCATCTAAAACGCTGTGGTGCCCGATGGAAATGACCGAACTGAATGGATTCATATACACCATACTCGTGGGAAATTTACGAGATTTGTGGTTGAGGCAATAACTTTTATGGACACCATTTAGTTCTCAGTGAGATCATGTTTATTAATACTATTTTAAAGTAAAATATTAGCACTGTTTATTATATTATCTATTTCTTTTACAGTAAAAAACTATAAAAAATGCCTAACACTTATTAATCTGATAAAAAGCAATATAAAAATAATAATGATTGCTGAAATTTTTAAGCTTGAAACTTAAGTTTTTTTCGTTGTATTGACTTAGTTTAATGTTTTTAATTTAAACACGAATAGTGGAAAGTTTTTGTGTAATTGAGGAAGTTGAAAAATATCCACAGACGTGCCGGAGGCAGACTGGGCGGCGACTTAGTGGCTGTTATTATTTACAACTGTACAATATTAACAGGGAAATTAACTTTGTTATTTTATGCACATATATCTTTTGTAAACATGTAAACAAAACTGACGCTATATGCTATTTTAAACGTCATTGAAGCATCTTTTTTAAAAATCAAAATAGTTCCCTAAAAGTTTTTGAACGTCTGTATTGAAAATACCTCTATTTTATTGCTAGCTCAGTACATTTCACGGTGGTTGTTTAACACAAAAAAATGAAACCATTTGGAAAGTGGAACATTTTTGTTCGATTCTAATTTATATTCGTGGTGCATTGAAAAATATGAGAACGTAAAATATTAGGTAGGTACAGCTAACAAAAATAGAGGAACATTAATTATCATAACGGTAGTGATGTCTTATAAGATTCATACAAATAACTTAAACATAATTCATTACTATTTGTAAACATACTTGCAAAAGTCATATAAATGTTTTTTCTTGGAAAGAAATTGTATTACGGACTTCCTAGTGACGTGAAGGTATTTCTTTTATCGGATAAGTATTAGGTTTAATGTTCGACGCATCTTCACAATTTATCGTCTAATGCCGAACAGAGAATTTCATTAACTCAACCATATGTAAGAAACATTAACAAAAAGTTTATTAACCTTGCAAAAAATTTTATAGAAATACATACATCTTTATAAAACTAGACCGTAATAAAAACCTTTAAAGTAGTTTAAACATTTTGTTAAACATTATCATTGTAAACTGAGATACAATTTGATGTGTTTTGATGCTACTTTTACTGCTTAAGTTATAAATAATTTCATTTTAAGAATTTTTATTTCATATTAAAACTTATTTTGAATGGATTATTATCTTCATACTTTTTTTTTTCATAAAGATAAATATTTGAAACGTACTGGTAAACTATGTACATCTGATTATGTGGTATTATATAATTTTTATTGAACATTAAGTTGACAATTCAACATTTTAATCTACGTGCTCGTGTTATTAATCGTTATAAATTGCTAAAACCAAAGTACACAATGATTTTTTTCTCATTACTTCCATTATAATGCTCGGTAGTTGTATCATATATATAAAAATACTAAAGACGTAATGACACTCAGTAATAATTCTTGAAATTTAGCTTAAAAATGATTTTAAGAATTAAAATGAATTCTTTAAATTATGACATTAAGAGCATAAGTAAGTTTATTTTGTTGTAAAAATGAAGTATCAGAATGATTGTGATATATTAAATTAAAACAGCAAGTCTCATAAATTTTTACGGCTGTGGGCTGTTTTATAATAAAAATTTGGAGAGTTAGCGCTAGGCTGTTGCGGGTTGACAAAAATTTCCCACTCCCACATCCCCAAGCTCGTTTACTTTGGCTATTGCTTTTTATGGCTAACAGCTAATTAAACATTTACTTATACAAACGACTTTCGATTACTAACACTCTCTAGTTATATCTGTTGCACAATAACTACAAATTGTAATCATTTCTAGTCTCCAGTGAGATATGCACAAGTCCGTGTGTGCATGCATCATATAGTGTATTCTACTTCGTTTGCAGACTGTAGACATATCTAAGTCAGTAAGGTTTACGACCGGCACATGTGCTCTAGACGACAGAAACAGTAAGTTACTCGGTTCTAATAAAGCCAACGGACAGTGTTACAAACGTTACTCATTTAGTTTTTCTAAAGCTTACGCCAAACGAAGCAATTTCCCCCTAAGCTTCTTTTAGATAGTCTAACGAGTCAGATTAAGCTTCATTTAGTGTATTCAGAGCTCCTCTAGTAAATGTTTGTATTCACGTTGTTTCCTTGTTTCAGAAATTAGCGTTTCCATTAGAACGCTTCTTAAATGTTTATTGTAAACCATTATTTTAGTAATTAAATATAAACAACACTATCGTTTAAGAAGTCATGAAAATAATTGTGAATTTATTTCGAATTATTCTTAATCAACATAAATATACATGAATGGTGAATTGTAATAAATGTGTTTTTATTATTATTAAATAATATAAATCTTAAATGTAGTAAAAAGATATGCCAACTTTACCACTATGTGTATTGAATATATAAATTATTATTTAAATATTCATTTTAAAGTACCGGAAAAGTTTCATACCAGTTAAAAACCACATCTCTTAAAATCAAAAATATAATGTTTATAAGATTAACAATCTGATCAGAAAAATTACTTTTAACTTAACATGATTTATATGAAATCCGGTCAGTATATTTTTTAGGGTGGTCTGATTGCTGAAAAGCAATTTCACTCATTCAAATGGCATCATACCTTCAAAATTAGGTACATAAAGATTCTCCAACAAAATTCCAAAGCCATGTGCAACCCTTTATCCTACCGAACCCTAATTACGGGAGCAGATTTTCCCACTGACATCTCATATTTTTCAACTTTCAAGTAACATAAATATTGTTACCCAAATAACTTGGTTGTAAGCATTATATTAACAGATTGTTTTTATTTTCAGTTACCAAATTCATTCGTATCGGCATCGCTGACAAGAATGACAATCCCCCATACTTCGACAAAGAGTTATACGAGGCGGAAGTTGACGAAAATGAAGACATTCAACATACCGTCCTTACAGTTACCGCCAAAGATCATGACGAATGTAAGTATTAGAATAATATAACGTTTTGTGACATATGTCATTTATACTGCGTCTATAAAATATGAGTATAGTAATCTCACCCAATAACTACAGAGCTTTATGGAAGTCATATCTGCTATTACTAGGATTAGTATAGAGATATTACTTGTTTGCCTGCGTTTTACTTGTTTGACTGTTTCGTAAATTTAGTTAAAAAGATTTAGTAATCATTGTGTGAAGAACAAACATATGTATATCTTCTCAAACTTATACATTTATGATAGTAGTAGGAAATGGCGATTGAATGTAAGGTTTCTCATTCCGTGGGTGTAGGCTTTTGTCATTCCGTTTCTAAAGGTCCACTTGACGGTCATTGAATGGAATTGACTGCGTAAACATGTAAACCCTTTTCAAAACTCTGGATGAAGTCATGTTTTGTAAGATATAAGAAATAAGTGATTGTTTATAATAACTTTCAAAACATAAAATTCAAGGCATTAACTTATTTAAATAAAATACACAGATTATCCTTTTCATTAAGTAAATTAATTAAAAATATGATGATTTTGGGTTCCTAAAATGAGAAATATTAATTAACAACATTATGTTCGCAGACTGTGTGAGGTATATCAAGATTGTATAGGGTTATAAGAGCTCTGAGACTTAAGAGGGCGAGAGATAATTTCATCCTAAGGGTTTATTTTCCCTTTTGACGTAGCTTACGTAACAATTTTATGACCATTTCCTCGATACCAGTTAATCGAGTCGCATTAAACTTGGCAAAACTGCTATTCAATCATAGTGAAGAGAATTACTGAATAGCGTCATAAAATTAACCCATTAAAACGAGCAGTTCACATAAAAGCTGAGAATTTCTCTTTGACGTAATAACATCCCAATAAATATATTTCCTTAAAAAAAATCGGTATTGTAGTTGAGGCAGAATTTTATTTTATTTATATAAATATTCTGTACGATATTCACACAAGCTGAAATGATTTTTAGAAAAGCAATATTCTTTGACTCATTTAAATTATAATTGTTCTATTCAATAACAAACTTTTTTTTCCAATCGGAAAAATATTCGGAGGCCTTGATCCGGGATCAAGAAGAAAACGAATGACCGTAAATATGATTATAAATTTACTAGCAGATAATTTCTTCCGACTTCTACTTACCTTACATGTAAATTAATCAAATTATGACATTTTTTATACTCTCTATGTTTCTTCATCTTTAACACCCTTGCCTCTGTACTTTTTTACGAGGAAACAAAAAATTCAAGGATTTTCTGTAAATTACCTTTTTAGTCTAAACCCCTATGCCATAATTGTACTCTGATGATTTAGATCAATAATATATTTCGATTTCCTATATTCAACAAACATAAATGGATGATGTTTTTAATGAAATTAAAAAAAACCGTGGAACCAAATAAAAAAGCACCTACATACAGAGAAAAATCTGAAAGGATACATATGTTCTCGTTATAAAACAAAGTTTTAACATAAAACCACTGTGTAAATATTGTTACATAGAAAATAGTTAATTTGGCCTATGTACTGGTGTAAATGTATTGGTAAAAGTAATTCAAACATTTGTGCTATGACTTGCTATAATACAGAGTTTCATTAATGGTCTTATTGGTACGCTTATTTGTGCAAGTATTTTTTTCTAATTATAAACTCTATACAGCTTTTCTCAGATTCTATTTATTTTCATGTAATATTAATACGTAATACACAAAATGTTTCCACATAAATGTTAATAACTAATGAATAAGGAAACCGTGTTTTTGACACGAGCGACCACCGAACTAATGAATAACTTTAAAACTATTTTAATATTTATTGAATGGTTTTTATTAAGTTTATCACATATAACGTATGTATTAAATATCAAATATTCACTATAAAAATGCTTTGATCGGATATATTGCGGTAATATGATCACAAATGATTTTTAATAGAATAAAAAAGTCACTTTTCCGTTTCATTCGTCATCTCCAGTGTTTTCAATAATACCAAGTATGTTTTTATTTGCATTGATTGAAATGCGATTGTGTTTGGTAAAATTTTTATATGTCAATAAAGTATACTCATAATAACAATTACTCAATTCTCCAATATTAATAAAGTTATCAGAAGCTGGATTGTTAAATACCGTGTATAATAAACGATGAAACTTATTATAACTTAGAACAAAAATATTGTGAGAGTCATAAATTATTTGCTACATAAATCGAACAAATAAATATTATATTTAGAATAGAAGTTACGTTTTCGGAAAACAATTGCTGTGTCATTAAATAATACAATATAAGATTTCAAAAAAAAACTCATAATTATTTTTCATTCTAATGTAGGTAATTTAAAATAAACTCATGATACAAGCATTTTTGGAGAAAAGAAATACTTTTCCGTATCGCTTTTGTTTAAAAAACCTTATACATTTATAATATTCTGCTCGTCATAAATTTTTCGTGTATTCATTTCGTCGAGTCGGCTTCATGTCATTGGTTCGAGAAGCAACTTGGCACATGTACTCATGTAACTTTTACCAAAGCTAGAAATGTATGCATATTGTATAGAACATTGTGCTTAGCATATGATCAATGAGTTATTCCAGTTATCGTGATAGCATATTCATACGAGGCATCTGTCACACATGTACATTGTACGTTGCTATCAAATCCTGCATGATTAGAATTACAACTTCAATTATGTTGTACTTATACTGTTTGACTCAATAGAGTGAATACATCATTTAGAATAATTACGTAATAATCAACTTTGTAGGCCAAATGATGTTAAACGATTATTTTTTATCTTACAAGAAAATGTAGTCAACTTTCATCTATAAACTATGGAATCGTCTCTCGATACTAACATTTGAGTCTCCCTCGGGATCTATCGACGAAATTGAGAGTATAATAAAATTTTCTCCTTTTACCTCGTAAATCTATCCCAAGTTGTCGGTATTCGGTTACTTGTTTTCGACAAACGTGGAACGAATGATGTTTCACCAAGGAATATATTGATGTCGATTAATAAACATACATGAGTAAAGTGTGGTCTATAAAATAATTTGTCAAAAACCTCCGATGAGTTTGGGAAAGTTAATTAAAAATATTCATAGTAAAAATAATAAGAAGTATAAATAGATTGAAAATAAGATGTTTATTAAATTGCGGTATTGTTAATATGAATAATAAGTAGCCTATAGTTACGTATGGTATCAGATTAAAATGATTTATGACCCATTAAAATTAAGTGAACTCTTATCTAAAGTTACGAGTTATATTTGCGTTGTCGTTATGTTTCAGGAGTAATTATTATTATGCAAAGTAATAAATTATCTTCGTGATAAAATATATATGACTTGATTTGTAACACCGCATCGCAAATGCTTTCACGGCATTTAATAATATACATATGTGTACACACACTTCATATATTTAATGTTCAATATATTTCTTCTACATAATAATAGAAAATGTATCTTGAAATTGTAATTGACATTATTCGATCATATACTCATTTCTTCAATTAATTACATTAACTAAAAACTAAAATGTCATTTAAATAAATATTCACTAGTTTAAAAAAAAGAAAGTAATTGTGTATTTCTTTTTAAAACTTAATTTCATTACTGCTCTCAAAACTTACTAACATTTTCCAAAGAACATTGAAGAGCTCTTGCTTGATACCGGCTCCGTTGTCTTATTATTCTTACTCGCCTCCACAATTGGAATATTATTTGGTTACTACTTTAAAATTTTAAAGTTTATTTTCAAAAGAAACTTTTCAAGCGATGTTTATACTAATAAGTAAAAATTGTATTTCTTCTAAGGTTTTTTCAGTTGCTGGATAATAAATAACATTATCCTTAATTAAAGAATTTCAAACAATATAACAATAAAAACTTATATTTTGTGTTTAACTTTAGTTTATTACAATTATTTCTCATAGCCCCAACTACGCTGACACAGGCTCGTCTCTTGAGGGAATTCATTTAATTTTGTTCAAAGGAACCTTATAAATTGGTGTTTGCTGAGATCTCACCGAGGAGAAATATTAAATACGATACAAACTTCCTTAAAATTTTATTTTTAAACGGCAGAACTGAACATTTATCAAGAATAAAATTCATTTATAGATATCAATCCATGTGACTTCACCAATTTCATTCAATATATTTTAATTTATAGTTCCAAATTATATAATACAAGTTACTGCTTATCCTACCAATGCGTATATAACCTTCGCGGTAAAGTTTTTCAAATATAGTAATAACAGTAATAAATCGCGAAGTTAGAAGTGATCAAGTATCATTATAAATCTCAGTTGCCTTACTATGTTAACGAGATACAAGTATTAATTTATTAAAGTAGGAAAACGAAACTTCTCAGAGATCGTAGTCAAATATGGCTGTGGTGAGATCTTCTTCTGCTAAATAAAATATAGCTACAGTTCGAGTCATGCTCATCGCGTGAACTTGTTAAATTCTTCCTTTCAACTTTGATGCAGAAAATGGTTAACTTACGAGTGGTTTAACTGCGCTCTTGCTGTTAAGTTCGTTCGTCAATGAATGTGTTGTTCCTCTTCCGAAGTAAGAGCAGCTGTTTGAATTTAATAGGTTGGGCTTAAGTTGAATAGTTTTCAACAATGTTACATTATTAACATTAGTCTTCCAAAAACTTTGAAGTCTTCTATTCTCTCATTAACATTGTAAATGAAGACAATTTGATGTAAAAAAGTTTATTATCCTTGGAAATGAGTTTTGATAGTTTATGGAGATATTATTGTATTGTATAACAAATCGATTCTTGCAAGAAGTTCCTTCAATATAAGAACGAGATGAGTAATGATATTACTTTAAAAAAGTTAATTAACATAATAATTGGTAACTTGTCCCATAATAATAGTGTGGGAAAACTACCTCTTAACATTTATTTTGAAAAATTGTCGGAATGTTTATATCACCTGAAATTATTAAAGGCTTCTGATTCAAATAAATAG